TCAGTAGCCTTTAAGCTACTTAGCCATATTTCAATGGAAACAAGAAACAATATTGCAGACGGGCGTACACGACTGCGTAATGCTTGTTCAGGGCAAAAGAAAAAACCGTTGAATCATTTATATTAAAATCTCTAGAGGGAGTCTGCTGTCATTTAAAAGCTTTAAAATTGTACCAGATATAGTGGAATGGCCTGAGTCTATACTCAGACAGACGGATGGACAGTGAAGCAGGCAAATAGACAGAGAGACAGATGAACGGAGAGATAAACAGATGAAGAGGCAGACGAAAAGAGAGACAAGCAGACAAAGAGACAGACGGACAGATGGGTAAAAAGACAGAAGGACAGACAGATAAACAATCGGACAGAGAAACATATGGACAGAGAGACAAACGAACACAGAGACAGACGAAAGAGCAGTTGTCCCGTCCCTCTGGCCAGTCTGCCCGCTCAACAAGACAAAAAATTACCCAAAAACCAATATACCCTCATCACTGCGTGAGCAAGTATAGAAACTATTCTACCACAGCGAGCCACTCACAAATACCAACGAATGCCCATTGAGAACTTTGTGCAGATAACAAAAGCAACAAAGCGAGTGGCAAGTGGAAGAGCTTAATAATAGCTGTAAATCAATCAAATGTGAAAACGAAAATTGTTTTTGCAAATTTAAGAATAAATCAAAACTGAAACAGAAGATTCGCCAGCTTAAAAATATACATACATACATACACATGCTTATACATATTTATCAGCTATATATAACTTGGTTGTCTCATGTGAGAGTCCCAAACGATTTACGGCAACAAAATTGAGTTGTGAGTTTATTAAAAATATTTGCGTGTTTTACACTCGAGGGGGCTGGGCAGAGGGGGCAGAGCTTTGAAATACTTTTTGACACGGTCTCGGCATGAAAATATGTACTTAAAATTAATGTATAGCCTGTTACCGTAAAGCATAAAAGCTTTGCGGATATAGTTTTTCATAAATCTGTGCGGGATTTCCGTGCATTTGCGTCGGTTTTTTCCGTGTTTTCGTTTTTTTTTTTTGCGCATAAAAACCACAATGTGAGCTTTTAGTCGTGTGGTGCCGCGACTCACCAAATTAATAAAAAAGTATACAAAAAAGGAAAAAGGAAAAGCGTTACTAAAAGGCAAAACTTTGCGACACAACAGTGTTTCTCTTTGACATTGTCTGTCGCGAAAAATGTGATCATAAATGCCCCGGCTGCCCGGCTCTGTCTGCTCCTGCTCCTGCTCCTGCTCCAGCTCCTGCTCCAGCTCCAGCTCCTGCTACAGCTCCTGCTGCTGGGCCAATGCACTTAAGATGTCACACAAATGCAGCCACAGAGACAGAGAGAAAGAGAGAAAGAGAGAGAGATAGAGTCCCTGTGGCACATGTGCCACACTCAACCTGTGCGAGCTGCCTTCCACTAGTTTTACTAGCCAATAACTTGGTTCGTTGCGGCAGTTTTACTTTTATTGCAGCCACCGATTAGTTTCTGGCCAACGGCACTTTATGGCCAACATCGAAGATGCTGCTGGCCGAGTGCAGCCATAAAGAAGGCAGACGCATGGCCAAGGATGCTCCCTGCGTATAAAGAGAAGTCTCTCTCTCTCTCTCTCTCTCTGTCTCACTGAGAAACTTGATCTTTAAGATGAGCACTTGAACAGCAGTTGGCCTGGTCAAAACATTGATCTAATCTCGGTCAACAAGTGAATGATGTGTGCCAGCCATATCAAATGTGGAGCAAGTGTGGGTGGGTGGGTGCTTGGGTGGTGCTGTGCCACATTCGTCGCTTACATAAATCTTGAAGTGTGCGGCTCAAAAGGCAGAGTCGAGTTGAGTCACTTAGCCACTCGGCATGCTGCTCCACTGTGCCACATACGCAGCTCGCCGAACGAGCTCTTTGACTTTGACTAATCCTTTTGCCAACACCCAACACAAACCCCACCCAGCACCCACCACCCGCCACCCACCACTGACTACACATTTATTTTGCATGCTGATTTCGTGTTTGACTGGCTTAATGCCTAGCCTTTGAGCTGCGACGACTTTGTTGTGGCACCGCTGTAACCGCATTGTGAAAAAACTCACAAGTAGCAGAAAACCACACAGCAACAAACAGAGTCACACACACACACACTCACACACACATGAGCGAGCTCATTAGCAGTGCCCGCACAGCTGGAGACGATTTGATTTGGCTTTTACTTACATTTTGGCCAAAAAAACATATGTAGGTATGTACATACGTATATATAGTATATATTAGGCAGCCCTAAATGACTAAATGCTATTCATTTCAGATATAATACAAGAGGTAACCATGGCAAATGAATGAAACGAACGATAGCGCACGATGACAGCATGAGACAGCTCGACATCAGTAAATTTTTAATTAGAAATTATATGTTCCTTAAATGAAATTTAATTACTTCCTTTTGGGCATGCCAGCTTTTCGTCTAGACTTGAGTTTGATAGGAATTTGCTCATCCATTTATTAGCACTTACAAAGGAAACATTGAGACTATTGAGGCTCATTCTGGAAAATTACTTATTCAGCTTTATCTTATCTGATGTCAGCAGCAGTTGCCTTCAAATGTGGCTAAGTGAATTTTTTGCAGGCTGTAGAGTATGGTTTAAAACTGTTGAGTATTCTGAACAATCTAAGACTCATTCTGATATATTACTGTACAAACCTCTGGTTTTTCGTCTTTATAGTATCAAAAATCAAAGTCTCAAGCTGCCTAACAAACTCTTGACAGCAGGCAGGTCCTCTATATATATTATGCACAGACTCTTCTTCATTCTATCAACCCTCGTTCCGTATGAGTTTAACTTAAGGCTTTTCTCTTCAACTTTATAGTATCAAAGGGCTATCAAATTTGCCTTCAAGTACCCCCAATAAATGGGTGTACCAAAGTTTAGACAGAACTCTTGAGCCTGAGTGATCCTCTGCAATGTGTATGAACAAACTTTTAGCAGAAGTTTTGATTCTGAAGCCTCCTGTTGAATATTGCCTAACCAGGAGTTAAATATTGCCTGACAGGAGTCTCAGCAAAGGGCGATTAGCTCGTTTAAGCAAAGGGAAACGCAAATAGAACTCTTCTGGCTAAAAGAACTCAACGTAGACAATTCTTTACTATGCGAGTGCACACAATTAATTTCCTAAATTTCTCCAACCAAACTCTATTATCATTCAACATTTCCCTTTAATCTACAAACAGAGTATTTCACAGGCAGTCAAACTCATTTTCACTCTCGAAAGTTCAAGGTTTATGTGAGTAGTTGCGACGAACAGTTACAGAAATTGTAAAAAATATACGTGACGTCAAAAAAATATATATACAACGTATAAAATGACTCGGAAATAGTCTCACGTATTGCTGTTGTAATAGTGACGATTGCCATAAAAATACGCTGAACTGTATTTGTGCGGCGTTGACTCCATCCTTTCGCTGCCTCTGCCTCTGCCTCTACTCTCTGCTTATTCTATTTTTAGCAACCAGCGCAAATGCCGTGACTGAAATACGAAATGTGCCCATTGGCGGGATGAATTCAATTCTCCGACTTACCTCAGTTCATTGCCGGTGATGTGTGAGAAGCTGCAAGAGAGAAGAAATAATAAATGAGTTTAAGCCACAATTAGAAAAGAGAGCCAACCGAAACTAGCCTTAGTCAGAGTCATATTTCAAAGCAGCGCGCTCAAATTCAAATTTGTCTGGCTTCAGTTTAGCGCTCCGCCTGGCAAATCCAATCAAATGTGAACGGGCTGCGCTTTTTCATAGCCTAGCCCCAGGCGCTGTCTAAACTCCCATAACTCGGGACTGGCGGCGCACAGCTGGCGCACCGAGCGGCTGAAGAAAAGATTTAACTTGTCTCGTGCTCAGCGTAAACAGAATTATTTCCAGCTGCCTTGTGCTTGCTTTGTGCAGCATTTAATTGGGTTTGCCAGCATATTAGATTTTCATTTTCATCTTTGCCGCTGCGCCCCCTCCGCATTCGCATAAATTTGAATACAAACGCACGCACACAAATGCAGGGAATCTCTCTCAAGTGCAGAATTTAAAGCACACGCAGCTGCTGTATTGTTATTCCTGTTGAAATTTAAGATACACACAAGTGCAGCCTCTTAGCTTCTCCGTGCTCCACACAGAGCGGGATGAATCTGTGTGCAACATGCAGATTTTTATGCAACTCCCAAAGTCAGATGTGAAATTCAAGAGCTTTCCCAACTATAAACAAAAGACTGCAAGGCATGCAAACAGCAAAAGAAAAAGTGAAGAGGCGGAGCAAGAAGAGGAATAACAAATACCGAACAAATTCTCTGAATGCAAATCTTATGACCCATGCGAAATGAAAAAGAATCCAGAGTGAGTAACAAATTGTATTGAATGACTGTTGAATACTCTAGATGTGATTGTATCTCTAATGAGCTTAATTTAATCAATAATTATATTTATCTAATATGCCAGCAAATGTGAATTGGCTTGCGAAATGACAAACACTGTTGCACAGGCTAGAGGTGTTAAAACCGTCGCTGGCATAGTATCGATAGTATCGATGAACATGAATTTTTGCAATATATCGATCGATTGTGTGCGATGTTGATAATCGGCTAACGCAGCGAATAGCTGAAACATCGCTTGTCAATTAACTGACTATGTTGTTGTGTGAGAAAGTAAATTTATATTATTTATATTGGTATATGTATGTGTATATTTAGCGTATAATTTACTCTAAAAATACCAAGTCAATCTAACTGATTAAAAAGTTTATTTATGTTCCTTTAGTTTAATAAAACAAAAGCTTTAGAGGCCACAAGAGACAAGTTAACAGTAGAGCTGTTAAATCGATGAGCCGATGGTTACAAATATCGTTAAGTTTGCTCTTAACGATATTTGTAAACTTGTGCTGCTCCATCACAGGGTATATATGGCAAAGCCAAGCCCTATTGCCTCATTGATCTGTTTTCTTATGCATATACTGTTACCTGTATTCACACTCACACCCACATACAGTCACACTCACACATCCACGTATGCACATTCGTGTGGCGTGGAGCACGTAGCTGAGATTTTTCCTGCATTCAGCATTCAGGCAAAAGGAAAAACTTCATCATCGCAGCGCGCTCTGCTGGGATGCTTGCTGTCAGTGTGGCTGTCAAGTTGCTCTGTGCAATTGTCATGCCCTGCCTGGCCAGGTTTCTTCTTTTTTCTTTTTTTGGGCATCCTTTTGCTCTGCTAACTGTCAGCGGTTGTAACTCTGCTTGTGAGCATCCGTTGGAGAATTTAATAAGTTGCCCGCATCATCATTATCATTATCACCATCAGCATTACGTTTGCCGTTTACCGTTTACGGGTTTACGGTTTGCCGTACGCATTTGCCAGCTAGCTACCGTTCTAGTCAGCAGCAGCAGCAGCAGCACCTTCTTCTTCTTCTTCTTCTCCAGCTGCTGCTCATTTTGTCATCCAGGCATCCTGCTCGCATTTCGTGTGCGCCGCTTTTGTAAGTGGGTTATTTAGCGTAAGTAATGCAATAAGTCTGTTAGTTTTCATATTTCCTGCCGTCTGCAGCTTCAGCTGCAACTGCGTGTAATCCACGGCCATTCGAGTCCAGAGAGTGCCAAAAAAAAAAGAAGGAGAACTTCTGGTGCGGCACACAAACTGAGAGATGATACGGCAAACTGAATTAGCGCTCTACGAATGTGTCCTTCCTCTCCAAGGAACTAGTTATAGGATAGACGGCTAACTGCCTGGGCTGCCTTCCTGGCATGAGATTGTCTGCAGCTTTAATTCATTGCAAGGAATTTTAATTCATTTTGTAAAACTTACGCTGAGCAGATTACCAAAGTTAAAGTAAATGCAGCACGCGAACGGCGAACGGCGCAGAGCAAAGTGTTTCTAATGCTCAATTAACTAAGTGCAGCTGCTCCTCCAGCTTTCAGCTCGAGTAATTTCCTCCTTCAGCCATGAGTATGAATTACTCTTCATTTTTTTTCTTTGCTACTACCTTCTGCATTGACTGCGGTCGCATCTTCTTCGTCCTGCTGACTTTTTATCATCAGCATTTCTTCTTTCCATTTGACATTTATCAACGTTTTTCTTAGCTCACCCAGCTCGTCGTCTGTCTGTCTGCCTGGCTGTCTGTCTGATTTAATTGCATCGTAACTGCAAATTTGCTGAGCTATGCAGATATAGATGCAGCTTCCAGCAGTAGCCAGATGCTGACAAATTGGGAGTTACAGATGTCAATTTACGAATTACAAACACAGCGATTGCTGACTGACTGATTGACTGACTGCTGGACTGATGGACTGATTGATTTACTTTTTAAGCCACTTGCTTAACTTTTGTGGTCCACAAATGTGGTTTGTGATATAAAAGAAAATATTAGAAAATATAATTAAGAGAGTCTCTATAAATAATTTGATTATTATAATAATAAATATTTCTTTAAAATTATATCATAAATATCTATTCATAGGTATTTATATATATTAAGTTTATTATATTATTGTATATATTATTTTTATCCATATTTATTTCTGCCTAAATTATACTAAAATCAATTGAATACATATATATTTTTTTATTAGTATTAATTTTTTTCATAAATAGAAACTGAATTTTCTTAAAAAAAAAAAAAAAAAAAAACTACTTCAGCATTCATTTTAAGCCCTTTTTAAGGACACACTCCACTCCACTTAAATGAGCAGCTGAGAGCTCTCATCGAATACATACATATACATATATGTATGCCCATGAATTATTTCACAATTTATAGTAATAAATCATATATTTACATATATTTATTTCAACCACACTAAACCCGTATCGATTTATGATTTAAATGCACATATGCATATGCAAATAAATTGCTATTAAACCAAATTTAAAAATGTGTAAAAAAAAACTGCGAGCATTAATTAAGGTAATGTAATACAAAATTTATGAAAACTCCGGTTTTTTTTTTGTTGGTAATTTTTGCCATTAAATTCAAGCTTTTAGCAATCAATAAAAAAATAAGCGAGGGAAATGTAAATGAATTATCAATCATTTTGAGCTAAATAAATATTTTATTGAATTGTTGGCCAAATATCAAGTGACATTTATTAAATTTAATGCAGATTTATTCACTTTTATGGAATATTTTTAAATTGTAGAAGTATGCAGGTGAAATATATACATACATATTTAGACTATCTAGTCAAGCATGGATGTAGATATGTATTTGTATATGAAATATAAACTATCCTCAATTCACATTCAAACTTGTAAAAACTTTTAAATATTAAATTTAATGCGCTTTACAGTTACATTTGAGGAAAAGTAAGAATGACTAGAATATACCCAGCATTCTAGTAAAAATGAAGATATATAAATAATACATACTTATGTATTTATTAATTAAGGTTTCTTGACTTATCCGAGGCTGACGAAAAGTCCTACCTCAACTAAGCTTTACATACTCCTCGTAAATCTGTACAAAATAAACTCATCATACCCCTTTTGGCAATTTCCCTTAGGTATACGCTCAGCATTTCTATGAAAAGTTACAAAATAACTGTACTTATTTAGTTTGACATAAAAGAGTTTTCCAATTGCTCTACTACTTAACTGCTTTTCAATGCAATTGCACAAGTTTTTAGTCAAGAGTTTTTGCTGAAATATATATAGTAAACATATATATAAATGTACCAGCATTTATATGGAAACTTGCAGAGGGTCAATAGGTGCTCCATTGAAGTGCAGTATTTATGGGAGACAAGCCGATTATTATAGCTTATTAATTGCCCACACTTGAGGCACCCTGTGTATGTAAATGAAACTTGAAGAGGCAGAGAGACGACTTACGAGCGAGCGGCAAAGTGAAATACGACAGCTGGGCATGGCCTTAGATGGCGGGCGGGCAATAGAAATAATTTTTGGTGGAAAACCAGCGCCGACCTACCATAAAGAGAAACTACGGAACGAACGCGTACGTGACAATAAAATGAAATGTGTAAGAGCTGTCAGTGGCGAGCTGGCTGGGTGGCACAGAGTGGTGCCGAGTGGAGCACGTGAGGACGTGAGCATGATATAGACAGAGAGAGAGAGAGAGAGAGAGAAAGGGAGATGGCGAGAGAGACAGACCAATGCGACATACGAAGCGACACATTGCTGTGTCGCTTGTTTGTGGCTGCTTCAGCTTCAGCTTCAGCTACAGCTACAGCTGCAATTGCAACATGCAACCACCACCGCACCACCCACTGAAGACCGCAGAGTTTCATAAGCGAGAGCAAAGAAAAACAGCGAATTGCGAATGCAATTTGACAAATTTATTTGCAACGGCAGCAGCAAACGCGACTTGAGTGCAGATACAGATGCCACAGACACACACACACACACACAGACACGTATGCAAGTTCTTTAATATTGTAGCATGCCACGTCGCAACGTGCAACATATGAAAAATGATAGAAATTTGCCAAGTTCCAGTTTTTGGGCGACAATATGCAAATGCTGAAACGGAAATCGAGTTACTCTGACAGTCAGCACGATTTTAATAAAAGAAAAGCGAGCATCGACTATAGCTGGCAGTTGTTCACCTGCTCAACTGCTCGCCTGATGTTCACCTGTTGCTTGGCCACACACGACTCTGAAAAATTCTATTAAAATGTGCGCCATAAGCACGCATTAGACACACTCAATTTCCTATTCCATTTTCCTGCTGCTCAGCCACACACACACATACAGACACACTCATACTCACTCACGCCGAAACTAACTCCATCCGGAATCGACACCAGGCTTCACACGGCTTGTGCCTCCGCTCAGAATTCCCATTACTTCCTCCGTTCCGTTGGCATTTCACGTATGGCTCGAGCGTTCCATTCCAGCCCATTCCCTCTCCTCTCCACGCAGCACATTCCAGCTGCTGCATCAGCATCTCTGCAGTCGCGGCAGCCGGAATTAATGCCTCACCCGGGGCAGCTGTCGCCCATTTACCTGGCGGCCGTGCGCCAGGTGTGCATTACATACAGCATTCCACGGCAGCGCCCCTAAGCAGTTCAAGCGAAGCCCCAGTCGCCAGCTGCTTGGCAACCAATTAAAGATGCATTTAAATTGAATCACCAAACGAAACGAAACGAAACTTACTAACTGCCTGAGTTAATATTAAGAGGAAGTAGTAGTGATGCCAGTCACTCGGTTGGCTAGAGCTCTATATAGACTTCCGGGCCTCCTTAATGGAGCACGGCCCCTATAGCGGACTCGGCGCAATGGCGTCCAGATGCGCCCGCTGCCTGGTTGAGGGTAATAGGATTTTCGGGTCACTCGCAGTCCATTTCAATTAGTGGACACATGTCCAGGGACAGGCCTGCCATCATTTAATTTGTGTGCGTGTGGAGAGTGGAGAATGGAGAGTGCAGAGTGGAGACTTCCATTTGAATTGCAGCGTATGATTTGTCCCATTGAGGTAAATAATAACAAAGCAGCTCCCTTAGCAGCGCCACTGAATCGGACTTCAATGAATTATGCAGCCTCAGAGCGTCCAGCTCCAAGCTCGAAGCCCCCGAGCATTATTCATAATTATAATTTGGCTGAAGCTGCGCTATTATTAGACTGTGTATTACATCCCATTGAATATGGAACAGAAACAAGTATGATTCCACTAATCAAGCAAAATATTATACGATTTGTGTTAATACTAATAATAATAATAATCATGATAATATGGTAACAGTAATAGTAATTATGTTAATAACAGTATTACAAAAATTTGAGATTGATAAATATATATAAATAAAAAATATTTCAAATAGAATTAATATTAATATTAATTATTTGAACTATATATATTAATATTAATAATTATTATTAATTAATTAATATTAATTATTTGAACTATATATATTAATATTAATATTAATAGTGATAAATATGAGCAATTAAAAAAAATCAAATAGATGATAGATGAAAGTGAATAATAATAAATATTGAAATAATGCTATTATGACAATGAAAATTATAATAATCAGGAAAAAAGAGCATAATAATAAGGCTGATAATAATAATGCTAATATAAATATAAGCAAAACAATATATATATAATTCTGGGTATAAATATATAATTGATAGATAATAATACTTAGCCGAAATTTCACACAATAGCTAATTGATATACGTAATTATTATCAAGCTAATAAATGTTAATGAGGTTAAAATATACGAATAATAATAATATTTTTTTTTTAAGTTAATAATGTACCAATATTAATAATTATAATAATGATAATAACAATGCTGCTAACATTTAGTAGTATATATATACTAATATTATTTTTAAAAATTAATAATATACCAATGCTGATAATTATAATAGTAATAATTATTATAATGATAATAATAATAACGCTGCTAGCAATTAGTAAACTTTTAGCTTAATCTTCACTTTTATATATATACTAATATTATTATTTTTTAAAATTAATAATACACCAATGCTGATGATTATAATAATGATAATTACAACGCTGCTAGTAGTAATAATAGTAGTAATAATAATAGTAATTAGTAAACTTTTAGCTTATTCTTCACTCATAGCCTAAGTAGACATTTCAGAGTTTTTATGCGAAACACTAAGTAAATGTACAACAACTAAAGATTATAACAGCAAAAAAAAAATGCTTTAAAGCTCGCTTTTTATGCTAGCTGCGCTTCAGCTTCAGCTTCAGCTGGCTTTCGTCTAGCGTCGAATGCTCTAAGCTCTGAGTGGCTCAGCGCTCAGCGCACATAAAAAAAAGTAAAAGCTGAAAAAACATATACTGTCTGGCAGCTAAAGTAAGAGCCGAAGAAGAAGAAGAAACAGAAGCTAAAGCCAACAACGGGCGAGGCTGCACAGTTCAATGCGCGTTTATGGCTTTCCAATGGCGATTGCTTCGTGTTGTTTGCCCAGTCGATGTCCCGTTGGACGCTTGACACCACTGAGATAACGGAGCGCATCAAATCATTTCGTGCTAATGGAATTGCATCGATGTTGATGGAGTTTTTCCAGTTGCCCATCAATGGCTCGCAGCACTAAGCCATCAAATTCGATGCCAAGTCAAGGAAATAATATTAAAAAAAAT